CAGTGTTTCGAGGGGTAGGGCTGGGGGTAGGGGCAGAGTTTTGTGCTCTGTCACCAAAATGGCGTTAAACTTTTGCCTTATGGCCACAGAAGTAGCAGCTGCCCTCAGCCTCTGCCAATCCTCAATATGGCTAGCTGACATGTCCACAAAAAATTGCTCATAAAATTTAGCCCAGAACATCGGAGGAGGACTAGGACTTTAAGCCCCTGTCAGTGGGCATTACCAGCTCAAAGTTCACTGGGTGGGGGGGAGTGGCAGGCAGGCAGGCAGTCAGGCAGTCAGGCAGGAAGCTCGCCTAGTTGCAACATCATCGTCATGGCCTCGGGTCTGCAGCAGCAACTCGAACTCTGAAGCAATGTTGGAAAGCTAATGCTGTGTCGCAGATTAAAACCGAAACATGCGAACGGATCGCAACGAAACGAAATGGCAGGATAACTGCAACGCACCAGGAAGGTGGACAAGTGCGAGGCAGAGGCACACGCAGAGTGGCAGAGTGGCGTGGAAAGAGCCTTTCCGGTTACGAGTAAGCTGCGTAGCTGCTGTGTGTCATATAAGCACAACAGATTTAACAGAATGGACCTCTGGACATAGGACATTGGACACTGACAGGAATTAAGAACAAAGTTCACGTTGGCAGCGCGAGGGATGCTAACAGCTAAAGCAATGTCTATGGGGGCGGAGGTCAAATATTACCAGCGACTGCTTATGTGTGTGCGGACCCGTCAAGGAATATACCTCCATGTCAGAGAAAGCCAAGAGCAAGTCTCATCGCAAAAGTTCCATTGGTTCCAGTTGGCGCTCTCACCCCAACTCATCGTAGATAGTTGCGCTCAATCGAAAAAGTTTTCCCTTTCGCCTGCTGCCACATCCATCCATCGGGCGTACGTACATACATATGTATATGTGTGTATATATAGAAAAACACAATTAAATATTTAGTCCTGCGGCATTTTCAATTACACGGCCTGTTTACAAATAGAACTCAAACTCAAATTTCCCCTCGCCCGATCGAACCGAACAAGCGAATGAAACGAAACGAAACAAAAACTGAAACTGAAACAAACAAAATGAAATCGATTTGCGTGGGGCGGGTGGGCGTAGGGGCGTGCGAATATTCATTCATTGGGAAGCATTTTTCCAATTAAATTTAAAATTTTTCATCAGTTTTAAGGCAGACAGACAAACATCCCTGCAGATTGGTTTCTATCTTTTATTGGCTTAGAGTCAATATCCCCCCCAACCCCCTCTACATAGCAGCCACCCACGATCCAAGAGGAAATGGTTATTGAAATTGTTTCAAACATTTTACGCCTTCCCCTTGGTGCTGGAGGTGGATCCAGGAGTGAGGTCATTGCCATGGGTGTAGCTCTGGGGTACATCCTACTTCGACCCACTGTAAGCCCTGTTGTTTTTTGTTGTTTTCCTATTTTATTGGCAGTCTCAACTTTTGTCACGTGTCAATATGGACATGGAGCAGCAGCAGCAGCGGTCGGCGCAGGAGCAGGAATACCGGGAAGAAGAAGCTCATTTAAATTTTAATTTGTATTGGAGTCGATTCGTAGAGAATGGAGCTCCATTCCTCCTAGACGTTTATTCTCGGTTATTTGGCAGCAGGACAAAGTTTTTTGGGGGGCATTGACAGTTGCTTTTGCTTTGCGTAAAAGTTTCTACGGAATTCCCATTATATTTGAAAAGCGGTTCCAGTTGACTTTTTGGTCGGCGCCGGTGCGGAGTGCGGGGTGCGTGTGCTGGAGCGGGGGCCATGAATTCGTTTTGGTTTGAGCTTTGATTGAATAACTGAATGATTTTCGCCAACTAAATAAAGAGTGGGAAGGGCAGGAGTGAGGAGTAAGTTTGGCCTAATGAAATTCTATGATTGCATTGGGAAAAACGTATAGAAGAAGGAATAGGGAATTGCCGAGATATTAAATAATAGTGGAATATACTCAAACGTTCCATTTAAAGGGTAGACAGTAGAATATGAAAGTCCTATTACACCATTGACGAGAGTTCTTTTATTGTTAATTCATCGTTTCTTCTCCACACTCATCTTTTCATCGTAACTATTCTTAATTCTCAAAACATATCCATCAACAAGTGACCCACAAAAGAAATAAAAATAAAAGAACAAAGCAAAATATTAAATCGATTTATGAATTGTTTAACATGTCCAGAGTGCACACATACACACACATATGCAAAGAGAAAAAAAAGCAAAAAAAAAAAGGGAAAATTTTAAGAGTATTTATAGTGTACATTTACGACTAAACAAACACCCTATCCCAGTATGGCTCTAACAAAAGAGTCCGCAGGAACAGCACACCAATGCCAATAACAATTCGTGAATTTTTGAAGGCAAGAGCTTTTTTTTTATCCCCTATCATTGCTGGTTACTGTTGCATACATTTGCAATAAGCCGATATACCATTGTTTTCCCCCAAGCACAGCGTATATCGCAAAAGCATTGACTGCATTGAGTGATGCCCAGCATCAGCATCAGCAAACAATGAACCAATTTCATTTAAATCGCATAAATTCAAATAAATAACCAGAGGAACATCCACACAGAACGAAGTAGAGTATTTCGAGGGGGAGAGAAAGAAAGATTGCAGAGTGAAAAGGGTAGAAGAATGGAAAGAGGGAGTGGATAAATGAACCCCAGCCGCGTTCCGAGATTGGAGCCACAGACACAAAAGATTTAATAAAATGACACACAGAAAACATACACCAGAGCAAACATAAAAATCAATAAACAATAAAGTTGATTTATGCGTCAAAGTGTCAATTGGCAGTAGCACTACCCCCCACACCCCCTCCACGATCCATTCGGAGGTCGCATTTGGCATCCATGGCGTATACGTAATTGCATTTGGCAGAGTCGACTGTGGACCGGCCGGGCACTAGCGCTTTTGGTGTCGAGAGCGCGGCCTGAAACGCATTTAAGTGCTTCATTCAATATTCTCCCATGTCTCTCTCTCTCTCTTTCTCTCGCTGTTTTCATCCTGCTGGTGGATGCATGCCCCACTCCCTGCCTCTAACCCCCCTCATTCTTCTTTTGCATTTTGCCATTTTATTTCGAAATATTTTCTCTCATTCAATGAATGATTGAAAAATATGCTTTTGATTTTATTTGTTGCAGTTCGTGTTGCACTTATTGTTGCAACTGCAGAGCTTTGACATGGCAGCAAGGGTTCCAGATGCAGGGGGGCCGACAGTGTGGGACTCCACAATTCATCTGTCAACCAAATCAATTTTGTGGCTACAGCCATTTATCTTTGTTAGCGCTCAATTGACGGGGCAACAGAAGCAGCAGCTCGATGGAGGCGGCTGCCACCACACAGTACACCAGTGCACATAGATGCACATAGTCTCTCTCGCTCCCTCCTCCCTGGCACAGTGGCAGTTAGCTGCATGAAGCGATTGATTTCGATTTGGAGCAGCGGCTAATTGAGCAGAAAACGCCGCTTGTCGATGCCAGTGTAATGATTGCCATTTAATTGCGTTTTCCAGCTTGTGTTTGCGCCGAAATTTGCACTAAAACTTGCACGAATATTTGATGAGAAATTACGAAATTATGTTGGTTCGAATATTAGTTTAAAATTGATTTCAAATTCATGTCAGCGGTAGTCCCTATCGAGTGGTAATTATAGTCCTGTGTGCAGGACACATGTAATTGATGCTTATATAAGTTCATTTATTGTGTGGGTCGTTGAAACTTCATAGAAAGTCAGTGACACAGTGTGATACATTTTTTTTTTTTCTACAGTTCTCTCGTAACCTATCGTGGCATGTTGCATAATCTTTCAGTGCTGCCACCACTGAGGAGCCGCAATGATCCATTTGTTATGTGGATGAACACATCGTCTAAGCGTTGCATCTTTATGGCCACTCATTGCATCTTCCATCAACCCTTTTTCCATTACTTGTTTGTCCACTGTCCACGTAATCAGCTCAAGAGAGATTATCTAGGTGCGGGCCCTGGCTCTGGCTCTGACTCTGGCTCTCTACGCTTTGGTCTCCTTTGCCGCCACACGCATTTACAGCTGCAAACCAAAAACTGCAATTCATCAACTCAAATCAGAAGAGACACAGCCGTGGCAAAGGCAAAGGCAATGGGCAACAGCAACTGCCACGCTGGAGTTGCCACCCACTGCGGCCACAAGTCAACGAGGTGATTTGCATGCAGCCATGAGCCAGGGAACCCCAGGCAGCCTGAGGAAGCGGATTAGAGGCGACACTGATTGGGCCAGATCCAGACGTCCGCCAGAGTTGTCAACGTGATGCACGAGCCGGCGGCACGAGCACTGCTCTAATCTGACCCATAAGGCGGGTGAGTGTGGGAGGGGCTACCAAGTGCTAATCAAACAATCTGTAAACCAAAAGTTCTCCACCAGCTGCAAAATACTACAAATACTTTTTAAAAAGCTCTCCCTGCCTTTCATCCTTAAAAACATTTTGCCACCACTCGTGTGGGGGTCATGGATGTGTATGTGGATGCCATCCGCATGCGTTACGCAAATTGAATTCGTTGACTGAAAATTTATGCAACGTCGCGTCGTCGTCGTCGTCGACTGTGAAAGGAGCAGCAACAAAAAGGTTGCGGGAAGGGATGGCCAAGGGCTACACAATGTACTTGGGCCCCCACCGATACGAATATCGAGAGAGTTGCATTCGAAATTTCATGTAAAAACGGCCAACTGCCATTGGAAATGGGGAAAAACGGTTGGGTGGAGGAGTAGAGGGTAGAGGAGGCAGTGCAGCACTGGAGCACTGGAGCATCTCGCCTGAGAAATTTATGCTTTGTTTTGCCTTGGCGAAACATGCAACATCAATTCTCGTTAACTTTTCATGCACGACTGGCCGATGGAACATGGAATACGAGCATGTACAGTACATCGAATGCATTCAGATTCGATTCTGAACCCTCGAAAATGCCAAATAAAAAAAAAACACGAAAGACAAAAAACCAAAGGCAAACCAAAAACCAAGAGAAAACTGCATTGTGGGTATCCTTTAAATGTTTAATAATGTCCTTTCGTTAGCCCCTCGTACTGGAAAACACGCATATCCATGTTAATGCTATAAAACAAAATAAAAATATAATTACAAAGCAGCAGTTTTTTTTGTTTCGGCACCAACAACAGCCGGACCCTGTGGTCTCGATGGAATCAAACGATCGATCTTCATTCATTTTGTTGCTATTCGAAAATAAAAAAAAACAATCTAGTTTCGATATTGCTACGTAATTCGATTGATAATTACCGGACTTTAAAAATATGGTCTTCTTGTCGTTGTCATCAGTGAGTGGTACAATTCTGGTGTAAGAAAATAGGCAATCAATAACAAAGTTATTATTGCAACAAGCACAGCGGCCGATATGAGTATCGGTTTACGATTTTGTTTATATATTCCAACAATTCCACCGCTCAACGCTTCGGGCTGCCGATTACGGTCACGGATGCGGTCTGGTTCGCGTTCTGGGTCGCGCTCGGTATCGCGGTCGCGCCCGTAGTCGCGGTCGCGGTCGCGGTCTGCGTCGTGTTCTTTACGTTTTGGTCTAACACCCCCCCACCTTCCGGATGATGATATGGGGCCCTCGGATTCCTTTGCTGCGGGTATTGGCATTAAACAGATTTATTTATATATCCAATGTCTGATTGAAGTAAAACGAAATATTTCTAAGCCAAAATTGTATAGAAACTAACAGGGTGCTTGCTATATCTCTTAATATTCCATTTTCATATGTTGATCTCGGGTACAGTTGTGCTCCTTTGCATTCCCAGTTTCAATGTTTCAATTCAAAAAACTGTCATCCAATATTAAAAACGTTTCCATTAATTTCCCATTTGCCATCTCTCATTTCTTTTGACTTTCATTTTGTTGCTAAAAAAAAATATAATTTTCAATATCAATGGAAAAAGTTAATTGATCAATCGATTACCCAGCGTTTTTTTTTTTTAAGTTTTCATTAATTTTTTTTTTTCGAAAAAACTTTGTTGTACCAATCTGGATTCGTAACAGAGATAATCGCACCTACTATTATAAATAAAAGGACTATGCCTAAGATAACAACAATACACTTATCCAACTTGATGCAGATGGGGCGAATGTCCTCCCCGCGCCTCTGCGATGATAACATTCCACCGGTATCGGTTTCGGGCTCGCGGTCGCGATCCCGGTTGTCGCGTTTTGGTTTCACACCCCCCCACCTTCCGGATGATGATACGGGGCCATCGGATTCTTTGACAGCGAGTATCGGCATTATAGAGATATATTTATATATATGCAATGTCTAAATAAAGTCAAATAAAATATTTGAGAATCAAAATTTGATGGGAACTACATACATAGCTGGGTTTCTATTTACCCTTAAAAAGGGTTTTTTATTTGTATGGAATTTTCATTGGTACAGCTGGGCTCATTCGCTTTAGTTGTTTTAAGATCGAAAAACTTAAAAATTTCCATTGATTTTTCATTTGCCATCCATCTTATATTCCTTATGTTTTTCCTTACAATTCATTTAATCCTTTGACTGAGCAACTGTACAAATTCGTTTAATTTCATTACAACTCGTTGGCTAACCTCAATTCATTCGGATTCATCCATTCATTTGAGCTAATGAATCAATTGTTTGCCGTCTGGGATTTACTCCTATTCTTCGCCTTCGACTTTGCACACAATTGAGCTTTATACACGGTCGACTTGCTAGAAACATAAACCACAAATTCGTTTTATTAACTTGACAGAGAAAAAACCCATATATTTTTCGCACATTTCCATTTCGGGTGGGTGTTTTCCTCTGTTCCTTGACTTCGCTTCACTCCACACCAAGCCACTCAATGAAAATATGCAAAGCACCTCCTGTTAGTGCTGGACTGTCCTGACCTTCGTGACAACAAAGAGCACAACAATTGCGTTGGCCATTCAATAAAAATGTAAATTAACTTATCAATTACAACGCCCCCAAACAACAACAACAACAAGAACGACATGCATGGACATGAAGGCTGTGGCGCCACACAGCTACAAGAATAGGCACGTGCTGCTCCCCAATCTTATTGCGCCCCAAAAATAGAAGGACTACTTTTTTGTTCTGCATCGAATTTGGTATACACTTTGACGTTCATTTGTGCTTGTTCTACATCTACAAATTTCTTTTATTTTGTTTATTAAATTATTACATACGTTTTTTTTGTTTTTGTTTATTTCTCATAATTGCGGACAACAGCTGTTTTTGGAGATGGTGTTTCCGGCAGGCCCTATGGATAGTTTCCTAAAATTAGCATTGTTCAGAACTATATTTATTTATTATTGAATATTGAATTTGGCTGGTTTGTTTATTATTTAGATGTATTAGCAAACGCAAAGACAAAGGAAATGCACTGCAACTAAAGATGTTACAAAAGTATCGATTGCCATGGACCAGCCCATCGATAGTGTTTCACGCGTTTCACTGCCCATCTCTATATTATCTCTGTATTTATATCTGTATTTTATTACTTACTTTTCAACAACAAAAAAGCCTTGAAAATGGCTGACTCCAAAGATGAAAAAAATATTAATTGGTCCCAGCTGGCCTTCGACCTTTTACTCCATGATGTGGTGGACAAGACCATCACTGTGGACCCAGACTTGGCCAAAGTATTGCTGAACATGTGTTTCGGTAAGTAAGTCATTGAATTTCAACAATGAAGAGATGTAATCTCTTGAACAACTCAACGCTCGTGTTGCAGGTGATGCCATGGATGCGATCCATGGGGCGATGGCTGTGGCAAAAGCATGCAATCGCAAGCACATCATCAAAGCTGATCTGCGAATGATCAATTACATCTGTAGCTCGGACAAGCACAGTTCTAAGCGCAGGCCGCGAGCCCAGTGATTCTAAGACCTTTTCGGCCGCGATGATAGTGATTCTTAGATTCTTTGTACGAGCAACATACAACTGATTAAAATTATTATTATAAGTGATCTTTGAATGTCGAATGAACATTATTATAAGGGATTCGAGTGCTTGGAGGGGATATGGAGAAGCACGAGTCACAGCGCACAGAATCAGCTATTCTTATCAGCTTTTCCAAACTCTTTTGCATTTAAAATCCCTTTGAGGACAAGTCTCAAAGCTCTTCACAGCCCGTGACAAAAACATAATATCCCCTCCATGTAAGGGTACACAAAAAAGAAGAAACACAAATGGTGTCCCCTCCACGGACTCAAAGTCCAATCTCTCTCCCTCTCTCTCTCTCTCCCTTCCCATATCGTAACGTTTTTCTTATGCAAATATACCTCCCACCACCCACCAGCGATAAAATATTCCTGGCTCATAATTTTTATTTCCGTTATTCGAGTTTCAAGATTGTATTGCATACTTGTTGGCGCATCCCCTTGGCCATGCCATCCCCTCCAGCACTGCGTTGTGCCATCAGGGAAATTTGCCTTGCTAATATGGCCAAGACAAGGGGATGGCAAGGAACGGCCCAGGATGGGCGAAGAAAATTGTCTGCCAGGTTGTCTGGCGGCAGTTCTCGAAAAAAAAAATACTCAGAAATAGGGTCCACACAGATACCGTCTGCAAAAAGGGACATTGTGACGCCGTAAATGACACAAGTTACGAGTGTCACATCGGATAATGTCTTAATTGACTGGAAAGAGTGGTAGGGGGGGACAACAGAACAGAGCTCACTATAAAGCAAAGTGATTGTAATGGGATATTCGACTGTCAGGTAGTAACGAGCTATCAGACGAAATCAAAAGACCACCTGGATGCGGGGGCCGTTTCTCTTCATTTGAAAACTTCCATGCTCGTGTCTGTTGTTGGGGTAACTCTACACTTTTGACACCTCATCCCAGCACCGAAGGAATGCCACCAAGCAGAGCGAGTGATTTACACATCACTCGAGCGAGCAGCAAGCAGCCTCCCACAGAATTTTCACACAAGAGCTGATACAGTGACCCCCATCTTTCTGGAGCGGTTACTCTCCTATTCCTTTCTGCCTCCTTCTGCTGCCAGAATCTGCTTCACTTTCTGCCCCAGCTGCCACAGAATTGAAGCATCACAGCGAGTGTGTTGTAGGCATAATCAGAGGCGAGAGGCCCACAGAAAATGCAGAAAGGAGGTGAACATAAGAGGGAGTCCGGTTGTCGGTAGTCCACTGGACATGGTCATAGCCATGACTATGATGATGATGGGGTTTGGGTCTGGTCATGCAACGGGGCGCATTTTCATATTCACACCCGTGCCTGGTGCCAGGGCGAAAAAGGCCTTTTTTTCCAGCAAGTCAGACAAATTATGACCACGATTTCAGCGCTGAAATTTCAACGATTGCCGGCCGCTCCTACAGGAGAGTGCTCCTACTGCTGCTGCTGCTGCCGCTGCTGTGGCCATGCGATAAGCATTTGCGTGATTAATGAAATTTGATGCCAAGTCACAGGCTCCTCCACGAATGCCATGACTGCAGTCTAAGCCCAGTCCCAGGCCCAGTTCCCAGGTCCACTACCGCCAGTTCTGACTGGGAAAAAACAATACAGAGTTTTGCCAACTGCAGGGGCCTTTCCATAAATAAACAATTAGGTCTACCAGTTAGGTCCAGCTGCGTACCCCGCCTGCCTTTCAGCTGCCACCCAATCATGACTTACGCTATGGCTCACACACAATGGCCGGAACGGGCGTATTGGACTCCCTAATTGACTCGCGCACTCGCAGGCGCGCAGTCGCCCGCCCAATTAGAACACGTAAGCAAGCACGCTTTGCCCATTTGAATTTATATTGAAATTTAATTTAATTAATAGAGCGACTCGAGCAACAGGGAGTCCAAGACTCCAACCACTCCAACCAATCACCCACCCACCAGGTGCTTGTATCCACATTCACATCCACTTCCCCTTCTCTCTCTCTCTCTCACTCTCTTTGTTATCGCAGCGGGAAGTGTCGAAACAGTCAACTCAATAACTGTTTATTTTAGTTGGCACATTTCCAATTTCGGTTTGGGCCATGTTTGTCTCTCTCGCTGTTGAGCTGAGTCACCAGGGGCAGGGGAGAGGCAAAGAGTTTTTCAGGCTGATTTGCTCTACATATTGTGAAAGGAGCTGTGTAGCTGTGCAGCTCTTCAACGCTTTTCCACTGGTCAAGCAATCTATTTTCATTGACATTCATGGATTTCCATTTAAATGGGCGGTTTTGCATTTCATTTTATTCATCAATTTCCCCAGAAAGTTGTTCAGGGTATAGATAGTATATCCTGAGTTAAATTTGTGCAAGTGATCATTAATTTTTTGCTATGAAAATAAATATGTACATACATATATTTTTAGTATTGCTTAAAACTACATTATTTTGAAATGTCTTTGAGTGATACTTCCTGCAACTAAATCTTTTATTTTAGAGATTTGGTTACTTCCTAATGGAATCCACATTCAATTTTAACTTTTTTTTATCACATTTCTAGGATCCCGATTGATTTTGTGAGCAAATTTTATTTTGTTCACTAAGAAATTATCTATAGAACCCCAAATGCATTCTTTAGATGTGTGTTTTTGTTTGTAATCCCTTGTCTTTAATGATCTGAGCATTTTACAGAATTTGCCCTGAAGATCCTCCAGTGATAATCATCTAATAATCCTTTGAAAGCTCTTTATGCATCTTTAGAAAATCGTAGGATCTTTCTTTTACTTTTCTTCGACTGCTACTATTGAATATTTTTCGCTCCATAAAGATTAATTTCTAATGTCCAAAAATTTTATTTCCTGCCTATTGATAGTTTGTTTCCCTTGTGGATCATTCCTGGCTCCTTCCTGCAGATCAAATCCCTTATAGTAGATCTTTTCGTATGCAAATGATTCTCTTTGCCTTTTCTTTCCATTCACTTTCCAACGTATTCGTTTCGATCTCTGCCCACCTGACTGACGATCAATATCCCCATGGACATGGCAAAAGCGAGCAAAACGGCAGCGCCTTATACGCCCCCACACACACACACACACACACTCACACAGACTGGATGCCAATCCATTCTGTACGCCCATTTGCTACCGTTTAGCCAGATTGATTTTGGGGCCAGCCGCTGCACGGCTGCACGTTGCACGACTCCAATGATCATTTCTCTATCCCGCCCACCGATATGCAGTGTAGCAGTGCACACAGTTTTCCCATCGCTGGGGCCCATCAATCAATTTCGAGAGCCCATTCCTGGAGTGGTTAGAAGGCGGTTTAGGCCTCCTCCTACTGCTACCGCTACCGCTTTTAGGTTGTAAAAATTGTTTCGGCATCATTTTTCATATCCACAACCAGAAAAAATAAAAACAAAAAAATCCAACAGAGAATAAGAGAAAAAGAGAAGAGTGTGGAGTGGGGTGTGGGGAGTGGTGTGGTGTGTGTCGAAAAACAATATCCAGTGGAGAGGCATCCAAACCAGCGGGAGCCCCCCATATAGAGGTCCTAAAATGCCAGTTGGGGTACGTGATCGGGGCATTTCTTTCTGGCTTTTGTTTGTGCTGCTATCGACACCACTCCCCAATGCACTCCGTATCTCCCCCCCGGTTTCCGACCATGTTTGCTCTTGGCCATGAAGCGAGAGAGATAGAGAGAAGGTTGCTTTTTCGACCGGTGTAGCGCGAATTTGTTGCAATTTCTCATTGTCAGCGAACGCGTTCGCCGGTAAATTTTGATTAAACGCTCCACGGGAATTCACTTTGGCTTGCACTTTGTTTTTCAACCGCAGGAGGATAACCTATAGGAGGAGGAGGAGGATGAGGATGAGGAGGAGCGTGAACGTAGGTTCCCCCCAGCTGGTGGCCAAACTCTTTTCATTTGAAATTTGATAAATGGAGCTCGCTGCAAAGCGATATGTTATGCAATTTAGTGATTCAAAATATTGAAAAGATAGTTTAATGTTTTTTCAACACTCTCTCCGGTAATAAATGAATATGGTTTATTCTTGGATCTCTGGGATCTATCTGTGTGGTTCATGAGTCACCTGAAGGATGGCCACTGTCGTGGGAATGAGAAGGGACTGGTATCAGAGGAACTTGTCCGGTGAGTGTCTGAATTACTATCTGCCACACTGTCCATGAGATTAAATCGATTCGCTTGGCCCCTTAATAAACCTGATTAAACGGCCACTGCCACAAAAAGAAGAGCACAAATTACAGTATCGTCCCCGAAGAACGGCACCGCCATAACAAGCTGTAATAATAATTTCGTGCCAATTAATCAGCGTTAAATCAGAGTGCAGAGCATCAACATCCCCACATGACGTGAACCTGCAATGCGCTGGCGACTTGAGTTTCGATTTCAATCGAATTTGCTTTATTTACAGGCTGCCTTTGCTTTTGACGGCAACTCAACAGAAACATGTCCGAGGCCGTGTCAGGTCGGATCGAACAGTGTAAACAATTAAAGAACCAATTGTGGGCGTACATATTCCCACTAATTTGTCAATGACATGCAAATTTTTCATTGTTTTACCACATAAATATAACTTTAATTATGTTGATCAAAAAGAAGGCACTTAAAGGCAGCCATATGGCAACTCTTTCGCTTGACCGCAGGCAACTTTTCTTCAGTTCTCTAGGAAGCAATCACCACAAATAATGGAACAATCCGAGGATTGGTTAGGGATAAAAGCGCTACAAGTGCTAAGATTGAAGCTGAAAATATTCTAAAGCAGAAACGACAACCAGAAGCATTTACTTTCATTACCAATTTGAAACTTTTCACCAAGTAGGTTTCTGTGTACAATATGCCATTCCATTGCTTATATTGGAAATAAAAGAATTCTGCCTTGAATTTAATGATTCGCTTGACATTTCCGAGGGCCGCCTCCTCTTTCGTTTTGTTTTCATTTGCTTGGAGGAGAATCAATGACTCGCTTGGTTCTTGTTTTCTTTACCCTTTGGTACGCTTTTGTAAATATGTGCCTCTTTTCGGATTGTCTTCGATTGCCAGCTTAATTGCTTCGCTGTGGGTCTGTCTGCCTGGCTGTCTCTCTGTCTGTCCGAACGGCTCAGAGATGCCCGTAGGTGGTCCATAACAAGCTAACGAAATGCGAATTCAACAATGAATGTTGGGGCCAAACCGAGTGAGTGAGTGAGTGAGTCGGGCAACTGTCAAAATCAACCTGAGGTAGGGGCCAATAAAGAACACAAGGGCCAGTTCAAAATCAGCAAAAAAAAAAAAGAAAAGACGAAAACAGAACAAAAAAATAAACATAAACGTCATGCAAATCGTATGGTAATTGCTGTCATCGCTGGCTCTTGTCAAAAAGCAAAAGCAAGGAGAAGGGTGTGGCGAGAAGAGAAGAGACGAGACGAGGCTCTGTGAAGTGTTTTGTAAATGCCATAAAAAATTAAATTCCAGACATGCATACAATAATAAGTACAAATGGAGGAAGGTGGCAGGGGCACAGCACACAAAGGGTGGAGTAGGCACACGCTAGTGTTATTGTTCTGTCTGTCAAAAGCGGTAGAGGCTGGTTAACAAAAGCAAAGTACAGGAGCAGCAACAGCAACACTTTAGCGATGTTCCATGCCTTAAATGGTTCGTCTTGGCATTAAATTCATGTGTTAGCTGTAGGAACTAGCGCAGAACTAATTAGAATGCGACTCTTTTCAGATTGTTAACGATTTTTTGGTACTCCTGAACGGGCTCGCTATGTCTCTGGGCTGCAGTTTGAGACTTTTATGGAGCTGCATGCCCTTCCGATCCAAACATTCCGGTTATTTAAGCCAACTGAAACAAAGTTTATGCCTGCTTATCCTTTTGCATTGGTTATATTTATAAACTGATATTGTTTCTGCACCACATTAATTCATTTGTTCACCGGACACTCACAAATCAAGCTGCAGGCGCTACATTGGAAAGTTCAAGTACACCAAAGCGATTCCGACGGACCAGACTGTATTGCACAAGCAATAGAATTTCGGGATCCAGAAGAAAAAACTGGTGCTTGTTGTCGATGCTGGCGAACTTGATGATACGCATCCAGGGGCTCTGACGTACGGATTGCCCAAACGTAAAGAGCTGCTTCAGCATCAAGTCACGTGCTGTCAGCTCCTGTGGCCGTCCGACAATACCCACATCAAGGCCGCGTAGATGTGCCTGCATTAGGGCCTTGCACAGGCCTTTGTGTGACGTGGTGTGAAGGATCACAAAGACACTTGCTTTTGCCCGTTCGATTCTTTGCACTAGACGCTGTGCCTGGCACTCCTGGCAGGGGTGTCTATGGCAATCCGCCGCCCTGTGAAAGTCATCCGGTGGCCAGTAGATTGCCAGCCAGACCCGGTAGAGCACGCAATCCAGTGCATAAATAAATCCACATCGGAAAACGTTGCCGAGTTTCCAAAACACAAAGAAACCGAAAACTCTGTGGAAAGGGGCATTAATTCAAGGCTGCTCCTGTATGCGCACAGTGCAAAACTTACAAAACAGTTAGGATTCCAAAGATAGAAATGAAATTAACCATCTTGTCGACTCTGAAGCACAAAGAAAAAACGACAGCTTTAACGAAGCGGAGGCGGAACTAGTGGTGGATAAACATCGATACTGACTTCTCGATAATCCACCAATCGGCGAGAATGTTTTTTTATTATTTAGAAACGGGAAAAACTGCAGCAATGCAACAATGTTTTCAATTTTCCAATATTTATGTGTCCAATACAGCAGATTTTCTAGTTATAAATATAGCTTGGATATATTTTATCCAACTATCGACAGTGCAAATAGCACGAGCAAAGGAAACGTTGCTCAACACTGTCACTGTCGCTGTCACTGTCCTGTCACTTTTTTTCACTTTCGCAAATAAGAGAATTTCCTACTCTCGCAGAAACCTGAAGACGAAAAGCAGATGCATATCTGAATGTGCTCCTGATTGATGCGAGCATTCACATCGAAATAGATACCATACGATTTTTATTGAGGTAAGATTATCCTCGTTTTGGTTTGCCCAGACATCGCGGACTACTAATTAACACATCGATTACAAGGCTGTTCGGAGAGTTGTCGCGTTGAATTAATTGTGTGTCTGTCCGGACTTCTGGTCTTGAGGAGGCCCTTCTGGTCTTGATTCTCTGCAAACTGGTTGTGCATCTATTTTTAGGGCCAATAGCCAGGTGCAGTAGCTATTTTTTTGTTGCTTTTATATCCACCGAGAAGATCACATTCAATGCGAACCAGTTGTGCATCCGCGCAATCAGCATCATGGCCATCATTATGAGAGTATCATCGGAGCAATCATCATCAAGCGCTGGTGACAGACAGCCTCGGTCTGCCAATATCGCTTACGGCCAACGCGACCATGATTGCCCACCGTCTTGGCCTCTGGGCCACACTGAATGCTGGCCATATCCGTGTCGGTGTCGGGCCAGCAGCAGTGACACTTTTTTTTCGCGTTAATCTGCTCAACCATAGCCTCATCGTCCAACATTCAACACTCGAGTCGGGGTCGTCTCATGTTTGTTTTTGCTGTGGGTCTATTTTTTTTTGGGGACCTTGTATCGCTTGGGGTATCGCTCACACTCTCTTTGGGGCGACTTTTTCAAGTGGCTAATTGGATTAAATTTGAATATTCTTCACAGCTCATTTGCCGAAAGACCTTTCCAGTTGATCACCTTGGACAAACACTCTGGACAGATCATGAGGTAAATAAAAATAGATCCCACAGCTTGATAACCTTTAAAATTCCTGGTATTCACAGCACCAAAGATGTCTACGCGGTGGGAGTCACCTGTAATTATGGCATGACCATAGCCATGATAAAGAACGACTATACTTTGTACCATTTGGGTGATCACATTTAGTAGGAGAATGCATACTAATGCCATGAACTGCCCCACTAATCGGAGACCTCCTTTCTCTTCGCAGTTGCTGTGCCCGGATACTCGCCCGTAACATCATTGGGGGCATCAAAGATCAATTGGCGGACCAGTACCTAAACCAAAACCAAAATATACCCGTGAAGAAGGCCCAGCAGCTGCTGTGGCAGAAATATCCAGACATTGCGACCGATCCGTTTCTTCTTGCTGCCCAAGAGGACAACAGACAGTACCTGTATGCCCCTCAACTGGATGGTAGCGCTAGCAATAACAATCATATCGCTGTCTGTGGCAGGGGCACTGCCATAGCGAAGACCATGAATTGGCTGGTCGACAATTGGGATAAAGATCAGAATCTCAAGAAGTCTGAGCAGATGGCACGTGTGGCTCTTAAAAATTGGGACACATTTCACAATAGAACCATGGATGTGATCGTTCTGTACAAGCGCAAGGAAGATGCTCCCATGGACATCGATGACCCGAATGAATAGGGGGAATAGTCATAGCAAAATAAATGAATGCGCTTCCTTCCTTCCTTCCCTCCCATGTAATTAGCCGCATTTCTTGGCCTTATTTTCTTGCTGAAACAGCAAGGAATAGATTGGGTATCCTGCTCCTCTTTGCTACACTAATGATTTATACTCCATGGAGTGGCGGCTGGGATAATTAATAATGATTAAAAGAGCTGGCGCCTCATCAACAGGCGGGGATTTCCAGGGCCAAACTGACTGAGTAACTCCCCCACCACCATCTTCTAGACTATACAATTCCTGGCCCGAGGGTCCCCCCGTCCCATGCCGTACGGGACATCCAGCTGCGCGTTGGATTAACCTGAATTTATATGTTGGGGGCTGCATTTGAATAAATTCATAACTCTGGGGATCTATCTACATATATCCCCTTGTCCACTCTTCTCTTGCGCTGTGCGTGACCAGGTCTCATTTGCTCCTCACTCTCTCTCTCTCTCTCGATGAATGGAGTAGGAGGAGTCGCCACTGCCTGGTGTGTGGTCCCTTCTTGTGTGGCATTATGGAGAAGGAGCTGTGCTCTGTTTGCTCTGGATTTTCATTCTCATGACAGTTGCTAATTGATTTCCACGTAGATTGGAACTTTAGTTAATCGCTTGTTCTGTGGCAAGTTAAGTGGATCTTCCACTCTCTGGGGAGGAGTAGCTCATGCAATCTTCAATTTAGATCTACAGTCGCAGGTTTAATTAAGATTGGAATTACATTTAAATATAGATTTGGTTGCTAGTGATCGATTAAGTTAGGCTGCCAGATTGGGTGAAGCTACTTTCATGTACAGGATTCCTTGACTCGACTCTCTGGTTCGCATTTGGAAGGTATTTGTGATATAAACCCATTGAATACATTCTCCTTTGCTTATTTATTCCATTTAAAACCCATCCTGAATGTGGACTTTATCTGCCATCTCGCATTTGTTGCCCCATGCATCACCAGGGGCAGGGAAATGAAGGAGAAACCAATATTTTGGCTCCAGTCTGCGCTCCTCTGCTGATAAGCAAATATCTCCTGTGGCATTTACATACATACACATACATACATATACGTGTATGTATATGTATCTCCCTGCCACACACTGTCCTTGCATCCACACACACACACACTCCCAAAGTCCCTGCCACAATCCGAAACTGCAATCTTTGCCAAAAAAAAAAAACATAAAAAATTGTAAAAGTGTCAATGCCAAGGCGATAACCGAAGGACGAAAAGGAAATCGAACATCAAATATTCCCCAATAAATTAAATACGGCAAGTTCCGAGAAGCTGCCACATCGCTCTACTCTCTCTCCCTCCCTTTCTCGCCCCTCTGTGGCGGCTTTCAATAATATTTCGCTTTCAATCTGCTGAAAGCTGAGAAGGTGTTGCTGGCAAGAGGCAGGGCCACGGGGCATGGGCATGGGCATGTGCAATGCCCTGGGGCACATCTGAATACGAAATCATTGGTGTCCCTGCTGCTACCTTTTGATATCTTACTTTCCTGCCACACTTCTCTACCTTCTGTGTGCCACTACCACACCAAAAAAAAAAAAAATTGCAGACAGTGTCAACCTTTCGGCGGCTCGTGGTGGAAATATATTTATGTGCATGCAAGTTGCAAGGTGTGACAACAGCAAAATTTATCTGCGGCATCGTTACAGCAGCATCTACCTGCCCGCCTTGTGGCCTCACCCCTCACCACTCATCCACTCTTTTGGGTACAGATTATATATGGTTGTGTGTGGTGGGGAGCGGTGGGGCAGCTACTGCAACTGGATTTATATGCGAATGGAGTCAGGGATTGCCATCTTAATGCGACATTAACTCCCCGGAATCTGTATCTGTATCTGCAAGTGTGTATCTTTGCATTTGTATCTCTATTTGTATGTGCCACAGGGCGTGCATATATGAGCTGTCCATTATGCATACAAATAGGCATGGTCATGGGCATTATCTGCGGAAAGTAAATCTCTCTCACCTGTTGCATAGATAACTAATAGTCTTGGAGATCTTGAAGGATGTTCCTCTGCCATTTCGATTTAAAAGACAAAAATATATGGGAATTTCCCATTGGATAAAAATGAATAAAATAGGAAAGAATTAAGAAACCTCAGACAGAACTAACCAACAAATGTATCCACTATGAAACGATAGAATATGCTGCATTTAAAGGTGGACTATTTGGATTGTTTCTTTAGTTTAAAGGCAGCGAGACCTTTAACCCTTGCACTTTTGTTATTGTTGCTGCTGTTGGCTTTTGTTTGTTTCTTCCGCATGGCAGAGTCGTCGCTGCATAATTATTTATTGTTGGCGTTGCCGTTGCTGTGCTGGCTGGCTGGCTTCTGTTGTTGCCGTTGCATTGGCAGCTTTAATGAAATTGGACAGGCAACATAAAGTAATTTATTTTTAATTAATTTATAAATGCAGCAACATCAAAAATGGCAACAGAAATAGCGACAGAGAGACGGAAAGACGGAAAGAGAGAAATAAAGAGGGGAACAGAGAGGCAGAAACAGTTATAGATTATGCGCTGGGGCAGTGAACCGTGCATTAAGCCCGCTCTCTATATCTCACCATCTCTTGATACCCTCTTTATACAATTGTCACTCTTGTATCTATGAGTAACTTTAATCACGTATCCTGGATTGCTTAAGTTTTCATACGAAAAATCCCTCCATAAGCCCGTATATTTATTTATCCTATATCTTTCATCGAACTTTTACGCGTTTCCAAGCGTATTTCAACCTTCGACCCCGGCAAAAAGTTTTCATTCCTTGTTTTTATTGTGCAGACATTCTTTATTATATTTAATTTTTATCATTTTTTTTTCAGTTTAATTTTCGTGTGTGTGTGCGTGTGTTGCATGCAACAAGCGTCACGAAGTGTCGTTGACAGCCATGTCATCAGCACTTTGAGCCAGTTATCACACACACACACACAGGAGGATGGTGGATGGGGAGGGGATTTCCACGCCCACTTATATGTACATACATATATCCAGGGGCGTGTGCAATGGCTGCAATTTCATTAAAATTTACTGCAGACTGCAACTGTAAAAGCGAAAAAATTGTTGCGGTCAATTAACGTCAACAGCGCAGCACAGCACAGCGGCGTTGTTGCTCATGCCTCATGGCACATGCCACCCTACATACACACACACACACACACACCTTCTGTCTCCTGCCACCACTCCCCTTTCCTGTCCACCCCATCGCGCTCTGCTCATTAACATACTCGCGATTTTATATGCAAACATTTGGGGTTTATTGTTGCCGGCGTAAATAAATAAATAAATTTCATTGACATATGCTCAAATAAATAATAGAGCGCGCTTTAAATTATTGCCTTGTGGCAGGAGGCCAGGATAAATGGGTAGCAGAGATACTGCCACACACACACACACACACACATCCTTCGCTGTGGCGTGAATTATGATCCCTGACGGGGAGACCACAGAGTGCGGCACAGAGGCCACAAAACCCCATAACAATGAACAGTCTACACGGTCCACGGTCCACAGTCCATGCCGCTGCAATGGCGATCATTTTTAATTTTACTCTCAACAAAAGGTTCCATACATTGCCGCAGATAAAGGATCCATTCCATGCTGGACATCAGTGTATGGGGCAACAGATAGGCAGATGCAGGCGATGCAAAGATAGTTTTGCCTTGAAACGAAGCTCCTCACAATACATGATACAGTGGATGGTTGGAAATATTAAAATAATCTTTTCAAAAGTTTCTTTTATGAAATTAAGTAATTTTTATATTAAAGGTCTTTAAACAGGCAAGAGAAAGGGCATGCATATTCTTTGGAAAGGACAATTAAGCAAGATATTAATTAATTTATGTACATATGTAGTATAAATAAATCTCCTTTGAAATATGCTCCGCAGATATTTAAACATTTCTTAGTTACAAATTAAAGTCTCTCGCAAAAACCAATCAACGAAACCAAATAAATGCTGACATAAACGTATTTTAAATGCGAAAATACTTAAATACAGAAGTCAAATATTCTTTGATATGTGCCTTCCCTCCCCCTGTGGATGGGGCACTGGCCCAGACTTTCAACCCGCTTATTGCGTGACCATCAAAGTGCGTAGGAATAGGAACCCAATCAAATGCAATGCTGTCTGGACGGTTGTCTGGGATCTTCTTCCATTTAATTGATAAACTTTCTTCGCTAAACTAATTTTCAGACGAGAGTGAATTCCCTCAATCAGAGTAAGAGGAAAAAGTGAAAAGAATTTAATTAAGGCTCTCCCATCAGAAGCTAAGCAAAATGTTTGCCTAAAATCGAACAAAGTGACCGCAAGGAAAGGAAGTGGGGAGGGAGAGAGATGCGTGTGTGCCGCTGGCTCCCAAAAACGTTGTTCCCCAAAAACCAGAACTTGTTCCAGAATTCCCAGTGCCTATGCAGGGGGGCGGGGCGTTTGCCACTAACAATAACAATAACAAAAAGCGGTCTCGAAAAACGAGAGGAAATTGCAGTAACAGAACCGCAAATTAGTTTCGCTTTTGCCCCACCAATGGGAATGGGAGTCCCGAGTTCCAGTCCCAGTCCAAGTCCAAGTCGGCGCGGTTCCTGTACCAAGATCTGGCTACCAAAACGCACAATGCCCCAAAGCGAGGCTGAATAAATATGAAAATATTGTTTGCGCGCACTCCATCCAAAGCTCCGAAGGCGTCTTTCCTGGAAGTCCACCAACAAGCACTCCCCTCCCCCCATGACACGGAGGCAGTGGCTGGCATCAGCTTTGGTTCGGGTTCTCGTTCTGAAGACGGACATGTGGATGGGTCTCTGCGACTCTTGCTCTGGATCGGTGTCTGGCTGCTTTCGGTTGCTCGTTCTGGTTGCCAGTCGTCCCCAGTCGTGTGTGTGTGTGTGTCTGTTTGCACCCTTCTCCTCTTCACAAATTGACGCGAGCCGCGCTCCAAAATTGCCATCAACGTTGTCATCGTTGTCGGTTGTTGCATCTGCATCTGGGCATCCCGGCATCTCTGCATTGCACTTCATATCCAGAAGTGCGCGCCACACACTCTTGAAG